AACTGGCACAAAGTGTCTCCCAATTCTAAATTTCTAAATGTCAAGAACTTGCAGCAGCAGTTAAGTTCCTAGGAATCCTGGTTTTTGAGACTGCACCACCTCCAAATTCCCTCGTGGGCGTTCTGAAATTCACTAAGCAAATCCGACTGGCTTTCATGTATCCCTTTATTTCTTGCTACCATGCACTTACAGGACTCCCAACAGCGGGTCAACCCGGAAAGCCTGACAATGCTGCCCCCCACAGCACAGCGCTCGACACAGCGTTAGGGACAGAAGTCATTGGAGTTTTAGCACAGGGCAGCGGTCCCTGGCTGGCTGTGTCCTCGGGAAGAGAGGAGAAGGATCGGGTGTAGTCCTCGCAGGGCAATACTCGCCGGGGTAGGGACAATGGGCAGGGGGCACTCGAGGGGTGGCTGCAGAGGAGGCAGCGGCCCGTCCCAGCTGGGGCCAGGGGGCTACTGAGCGACAGTTGGGGTCCCGCTGGCCTCCGGCTGGGTCGTGGTCCAGTCCGGAGCCGACCCGCCCATGGTCAGGTTGGCCACCTGCTAATGAGGTTGAACTGTTTCTTCACAGCAGCAGCGGCAGCCCGCGGGGCTCCGCCTGGCAGGCAGGGCTACACCCAGACAGCTTCTTCATGGGTTCACAGCTAAGGCCACCGACGGCGTCTGCTGCGGCTACCTGGGCCGTTGACCTCGCTCTCTCACGTCACTTCCGGCGCGCCGTCCACCCACCCTCTGGGCCGACCGTTCGGGGCCGAGGCCAACCGAGCCGAGCCGAGCTGGACCGATCGGAGCCGAGCCCCGACGAGCCCGATCTGGAGAAGATCGCGAGGAGCAGAGCGCAGAGCAAAGCGGCATCTGCAGGACTTTGCCCCAGCCCTTGACACCTCACGTTCAGCGACGCCATCCACCCACCCTTGGGCAGATGGTGGCTGAGAGGCTCTTGAAACAGGCAGAACATATTAGCCAAAACTATAATAGTCAAATATTTACCACATTGAACTTTAGTGGGATTCCCATGTATTTTAAGGGTTCCCGCCACTCTTCCGAAGTCCAAGTCACGTGGTTTTTGTCTCCATCAGATCCCTCGTGGTGTGAATCTTCAGGGAAGTTATGGGGAAAGGGAGACCAGCAGCCTGCCCCGTGGGTGGTCATCCTCCTCCCCAGGGGAATGCCAGGTAATCTCCCCAGTGCTGGGGTCCACTCCAGGTAAGTTCATTTTGTTTAGGGTCCAGATGGGGCTATTGAGCCCCTTGGTCGAATGCAAGCAACACTGAAACAAAGCCCGGGGTTGTCGGTTTGGGGTTTTTCATCGAGAGGGAAGTTGAACAACAAATGCCATTCCCTGTCCATTTTATTTTTTTCATCATCAGTGACTAGGCCACTGACTGTCAGGGATGTGCATTTCTTAGGGGTCAGGAGAACAGAGAGCAGCAGCAGGGCAACAGTGCCACAGGAAACATCATTACCCGTGCTTGAACAGTTACTGTTAGGACACAGGCAGGGAGCCATTCCTAAATCTTCCTGGGGTGATGGATGATGGTCTCCTTCCTCGCCACAAACAACACAAAGGATTGTTCCCAGGACTGTGCTGGGGGCATACTTTTCTAATAGTGTCTCTATGGCTGTCCCAAGCAGCTAGTGATGGTCACAAGGCTAGATGCAGTGACCAAAAAGTTCTAACCTGAACATCAGTGAGTGGAACTAAAGCACCCACCGGTTAGGATGGTGTGTTGCTGCCCCCAGGTGGGAGCCTCAGAGACCACGTGGCAGACACACAGGCCACACCTGATGGCACCTCCCAAGTTCAAGTGTGGCAAAAAAAGGGAGCTCTGCTAATAAACTGAGCAACTTCCATTCAACTCCTGGGATTCATTCTGATTGGAACAACCTGGTTAGCACTTCCCCCAGTCCCAACCACCCTCTGAAGCATGGCAAGGTGATTTTGGGTGCTAGTTGGCCAGACCTTGGCAAGTTTCCACCCCTAGAATCAGGCAAGGAGCCTCGCTTTTTTTTTTTTTTTGTCTGAGATAGTTTCGCTCTTGTTGCCCAGGTTGGAGTGCAGTGGCACAATCTCAGCTCACAGCAACCTCTGCCTCTTGGGTTCAAGAGATTCGTCTGTCTCAGCCTCCCAAGTAGCTGGGACTACAGGTGCGCACCACCACGCCCGGCTATTTTTTGTATTTTTAGTAGAGATGGAGTTTCACCATGTTGGCCAGGCTGGTCTCGAACTCCTGACCTCATGATCCGCCTGCCTCAGCCTCCCAAGGTGCTGGGATTATAGGCGTGAGCCACCGCGCCTGGCCAAGGAGCCTTTCTTGATTCACGTGGACTGAAAGGAGAGAGGCTTAGTTTTCCATAAGAAGCTCTAGCTTTTTTTTTTTTTTCCCCCGAGACAGTTTTGCTCTTATCGCCCAGGCTAGAGTACAATGGCGTGATCTCAGCTCACCACAACCCCCGCCTTCAGAGTTCAGGCGATTCTCCTGCCTCAGCCTCCCGAGTAGCTGGGATTACAGGCATGCGCCATGATGCCTGGCTAACTTTTGCATTTTTAGTAGAGGTGGGGTTTCACCATGTTGGTCAGGCTGGTCTCGAACTCTTGATCTAAGGTGACCCACCTACCCTGGCTTCCCAAAGTGCTGGGATTACAGGCGTGAGCCACCGTGCCCAGCCCACTCTAGCTATTTTTTTTTTTTTTTTTTCATAGAAGAAAGAGATACTGGAGAGTCAAAGTAACAATTGTCCATTGTAGCCTTTTGGGGAGAACTTCCATGGTGAATGCCTAACTTTTGGCCCACAAATATTAATGTCCAAAGAGCTTTTACACTTCCATGACTCTTCTCTTGACTTTGTCAAAAGATGCAGTCTAGTTGGCAGTGAACTTTCTCTGTCTGGGATATGGTTCAAAGACTACCCCAGCATTGTCTCATGCATTAAGGTGTCATTTAGCCTGAGATGGCTAAGCTTGCAATCTCCGGACTCCCCTCTGTCATAAACTTTCAGACCCTCAACCAGGAACTTACATGGAATGAGGTAGCCCTGGAGGTTAGCTGGAAAAAGACTTTGAGATAACCAAATTCCTCTGAATCACCAGCTATTTTGAATCAAAGGCTCGTCCAACAACAACAGTGTATGAACCCATCTGCCTCTGCCTTCTTCCAGTCACCCTCAATCTCACAGTCCAGAACTATGGGATTAACACCGTATAGTACTTGCTGTTAACACTTACTATCCACTAACACCCATGGAATGTGGACACTGCTAAGCTGGGAGATGATGCTTGTGCAATAGTTTGCATTAACCTTTTGGCAAAGGACCACTCCAAGAAAATGGTGTGTTTTATCCCATTAGCACTCCCCCGGCAAAGCTCTCCAACCTTAGCCGAATTCCCGTCTGTCGTTTCTACTGTGGCTATCAATGAACTATTGTTCCTCCATTAGAATACTGAGCTAGCATTTGATATTTGACCTCACCCCAAGGTGTGTATTCTGGGTTTCTGTTGTTTATTTTCCTTTTTAAAAAAATGAGTGCAATTCAAAGTTCTTAAAGTATGTCTGTTCCCTGCTTCCAACAACTGACAGATAACAAAATGGAATATACAAACACATTTTCAATTTATAATGTATATTAAACATACATTATACATATACAATTTACAAGTGTTGCTTCTGGCTGGATTATCTGCCCATCGCCCGAACACTGAGGATTCTGCTAGCTCTTCTGCCCTGGATTAATTATAGCTATAAAATTTCATGACCAGCAAGAAACCAGGCGACTTCCCCAGTACATCTTGAATTTATACATATATTTTGTACTGGATTTAGTACAAAATAAATCCAGAACATCTTGAATATGCATCATAACGAAAGAGACACACGTGAACCCACTCCCACGTGAGAAACTCAGGATGTGTCTCTGTGCTCCTTCCCTGCCTCTCCCTCCCCTCTTGTGTGCTACCCTCTCGGCTCCCTAAAGGTCACCAATATCCTGATTCTTTTTTAAAAAAATTTTCCTTGTCTTGCCCTTTTCTGTACAGTATTTTACCATATGTGTATGTTTCTCTAAACAACATTAGTTTTACTTGGTTTGAACTTTACAAAGTGTTGTTAGACTTCCTTCTTTCACTGAACATCGTGTTTCTGAGATTCAGCCCTTGATGCTGCTACCTGGTAGCTCTAGGTCATTTATTATCACTGCTACATAGCTTCCTATTGTATTACTTTTCCACACACTACTTCCCTCACTACATTTCTTTTCTTTCTTTCTTTTTCTTTTGAGACGGAGTCTTGCTCTGTCCCTCAGGATGGAATGCTGTGGCGCCATCTCGGATCACTGCAACCTCCGCCTCCCGGGTTCAAGCGATTCTCCTGCCTCAGCCTCCTGAGTAGCCAGGACTAAGGCGGCCACCACCACGCCCGGCTAATTTTTGTACTTTTAGTAACGACGGTGTTTCACCATGTTGGCCAGGCTGGTCTCGAACTCCTGACCTCAGGTGATCCGTCCGCCTCGGCCTCCCACAGTGCTGGGATTACAGGAGTAAACCACCACGCCCGCCCCCCTCACTACATTTCAAAGGCAATTTTGGGTGCAAAGCCCTCAGCACAGTCGCTGACAGAGTCAGCACACAAGAAAATTTTGTAAAATTGAATGACACTGAGCCCGGACTGAACGTAACAATTTATACTTGTTGCTTCTAGTTGGATTCTCTGCCCTTTGCCCGAACGCTGAGGATTCTGCTAGCTGTTCCGCCCTGAGTTAATTATAGCTATAAAATTTCGTGACCAGCCAGCAGAAACCGGACGACTTCTCCAGGCACGTAAGACTACACTTCCCAGAAAGGATTGCGATACTCTTCTACTGTTTAGTTTCTTTTTCCTATCGTCAAATTTCCGGGTTATGTAGGCGGTGCCAAAATAATTATCCAATGAACAACTTCGTAGGCTGAGAGGGCAGGATAATTGTTCAATGAGCGACTCGGAAGAGGAACCAATAAGCGGAGAGGTTGCTGGGGCAGCCGGCGTGGGCGGCGTCACTGAGCCGCGCCAGCTGAGCCAGGTGGAGCGTTACCGTCTTTTGCTTTCTGCCTGTGACTAGCGCCGTCCCCCACCGCCGGTCGACCCTGCTTCCATGTCCCTGGCGGACACAGCTCCCCGGAACCTCCACGCCCATGGCCACTAGGCAGAGGGAGTCCTCTATTACCTCCTGCTCTTCCGCCTCGAGCTGCGACGCGGACGACGAGGGCGTGCGCGGCACCTGCGAAGATGCTTCCCTGTGCAAGAGGTGCTTGTCGGGCGTGGGATTCGGGGCCGGCATCTGGGGCGCGGGCCTAGGTGGGAGGCGGGCCTGCGTCTGAAGAATACGCTCGAGGCTGGCAGGGATGCAGCCCCCGCCTCGCACGACCCTCGCTTCCCACCTGTGAAGTGCACAGAGCAGGGCTTCATATATTTAACGAATCCTTTCTGAGCTTTTGCTGTGAGCCAGGCAGAGGGCAAGCCTGGGTACCGTCTATGGGAGCAGGCCCCTGAACTAGGCAGACGAGGCCTTGGGCTTCTTGGAGCTAAACCCTGCTGGAAAGACAACATGAAGCACATACTAGCTCCAGCCTCGGTGGGTTACGAGGATGAGAGATGTAGGTTCTCTCTCTTTTGTAGGTTGCATTCTTTAGGGAGTTGGCATGATTCCTGTTGTGCACCTGAAACTCAGGACGACGAGGGGATATAACCCGCCCAGGGCCAGGTTAATATCTCTTTGCAGAGCCAGTAGCACACTAAGTCTCCACTATTAAGGGTGTGGTGGTGGAGATGGGGGCGTAGCCAGCAGAGGTACATGTCAGATAAAGAGAAAACATGAGACTTGAGTGTCCACCATTTATTCTTTCATTCAACAAAAATTTTCGAGAGCTTTGTGCTAGGCCCTTACTTCGGGCTGCTTAGTAGAAGTTCAGTGGTGGAAATACATCAAGAACAAGACAGACATGGTGTCAGACATACTGGAACTCACAGCTTAGTTGGAAAAGAGAGACAGGAAGCTAATAATTACTTATGAAATACATAATTATGATTTTTTTTGTGTTGAATGCTGACAAATACAGCAGTGCCATTAGAGTTTGTAATTTTGTTAATGATGTTTAAGATGAGAAGAGTTCGGGCACGGTGGTTCATGCCTGTAATCCCAGCACTTTGGGAGGCCGAGATGGGCAGATCATGAGGTCAGAAGTTCGAGACCAGCCTGGCCAACATGGTGAAACCCCCGTCTCTACTAAAAATACAAACATTAGTTGGGCATGGTGGCGGGCACCTATAATCCCAGCTACTCGGGAGGCTGAGGCAGGAGAATCGTTTAAACCTGGGAGGCAGAGGTTGCAGTAAGCCAAGATCACGCCATTGCCCTCCAACCTGGGTGAGAGTGTGAGACTACGTCTCAAAAAAAAAAAAAAAAAAAAAAAAAAAAAAGTGAGAAGAAAAGGCTTGAAAAATAGGAAAGTTGTAAGAGAGTGTTCAGAGGAATGTGAACTGTTAGAGGAGCTCAAAGAATGCTTTTAAGGTGGGAGAAGGAGGCTGAGGCCACATAGTGATTGTAGAGTAGGGAAAACCAGTGTGTTGGTTTAAACCGTGCACTTTTTATGGGTTCTTGGGGACTAAACTCTCAGAGCATGGATTCTGGAGCTAGACTCTGTCAAACTGAGCTTTGCCACTTACTGGCAGTATAAAGTCGGGGAAATTACTAAACCTTTCTGTGGCTCAGTTTCCTGATCTGTAAAATGGGGACTATAATAATGCTTCATAGGTGGGCGTGGACAAAAATGATATTTAATATTAGTAGAGCAGTTGGAGCAGTGTCTGGCATGTAGTCTGTGTAAGTGGTGATTGATTAAATCAATAAATACATAAGTATTAAAGTCTTAGAGGCAGTCCCTTGTGAAATTTGTGATTTCAAGTGGATTATACTCAGCCTTTTTTCTTCTGTGGTTTTCAGTTGCTATTGGCCACAGCTGTCTTGGCTCGCTGTAACTTCCACCTGCCGGGTTCAGGTGATTCTCCTGCCTCAGCCTCCCAAGTAGCTGGGATCACAGGCACACACCACCATGCCCGGGTAATTTTTGCATTTTTAGTGGAGACAGGGCTTCACCACGTTGGCCAGGCTGGTCTCGAATTCCTGACCTCAAGTGATCCGCTTGCTTCGGCCTCCCAAAGTGCTGGGATTACAGGCATGAGTCACCCCGCCCAGCTTAGTCTTTTCATTTTTAAAACAGTGATAATAAAGGTAACCTTTATGGGTGTCAGGATTAAATGAGATTATCGATGCAGAGGATCTGACACAAAGTGAAGCCCTCAGTAAATTATTATTGCTAGTTTTGATTTCCCTCCAGGCTGAACACTGTTTATAGTTGCTGAATTTGCAGGAGCTATGAGTTAGGGTGGTTTCTGCTGCCCTGAGTGAGTTGTAGCTATAAAATAAAAAGCCAGTCAGCCTTCTGGGGCACCTATAAATCTTTTACTTCTGTTTAGTTTGCTTCCTCCTTTGGTACAGAGCCCTTCTGGGGATAAGGAGGATGTTACCTGTCTCAGAGGATTGCTGTGCAGGTGAAATGTGGAGTGTTTGCAACAGTGCTTGGCATACTGGAGGTGTTCAGAATTGGTAGTTACTGTCATCACCACCCCTCATGGTCGTCAAACCGTTATCATCATTATGATCCTGGACTTGTGGTATCAGAAATTTTCTGGTTGGATATATTAGGTTTACACTAATTCCATTTGACTCAATAGGTATCAATTGAGCTCTTTTCATGGTAGCCCACTCTCCTTCCCTTCCCTTCTCTGCTTTCCTTATGATGTCTATCATGCTATGCCACTGAGTCTGTTCTCCCTCTTTTGTTTACGTATGACCCAGCCATCCCACCAACCCCTCACTGTGTCCTCTGCAGTTACCACCCGATAATCAACATCAGCTTCTGTTTTGTTAGCCACTCCTTAGCCATTCCCTCCCTCCTTTTGCCTTCACCCTGACCCTTCCCCAGGAATATCCCATCTTGAAGCCCTCTCCTGTGGCTCCTCATTCTTCTCATCCCCTGTGTATCTCAGGATCAGGGGTTTGAGCTTTGTGTCCTCCTGTGTGTGTCCCCCGTCTCATTCCATGGAGATCCTTCCTGCCCAGCTGGAGTCCTCCTGGTTGCTGTTGTTCACCTTCTCCTGATCATTCACCTCATTCATGGAAGACTGGGGTGCTTGGCCCACAGTGTCTTCTACCTCACATGACTTCACCTTAGGTGACCTCAGCATCCACATGGAGCCTATGCATGGGGCACTCAATTTCTTGAACACCTGATTTGTAGTAATCCCCTCTTCCTATCTGTTTCTGTCACCCTTTCCCACCGTGATACCCTGTGCTTTTATCCTGATCCTGCACTGCCTCACAGATGAGAGTGCAACACTCTGCAGCCCTGACCCCTTTTTCCAAGTTGCTTGACCAGTTATTTTCTGTTTCCCATGCTGTGCCCATTTCTTCTTAGCACTTCAGTGGTTTTCTCTATCTTTTAGATGTTCCCTCTGCTGTTACCTCTTAATTGATTACTTAGAGTTCATCCTTCATCCCTCAGTAATTCTGTTGACAGTGCATTTATCTTCCTTGTCCTTTGGTCTTAGTAGACCCAAAATGCTGGTTTAACCAAACTATCCATTTTTGCCTTGAATACAGGTGCTAGAAATCACACAGTAGGGTGGCTTGGTGCCACTACAATCATGTCAGCCAACCGCATCTGTGCCCTTAACAGAACCTGACTATCCTAGTTTGTTTCTCAGATCAACTCACTCTCCCTTTCTCCGGATACTTAATTCAGACGTTTTTCACTTTCTTCAGACTTCTGATTTACCCTACCCCTTTTTTATTCTCAAGATAATATCAGCTATTGCTCAGCATAGAAAATGGGAGCCCTCAGAATGAGACTCCCTTAACTTCCCCCAAGAAACTTTTTTTATTTTGTTTTGAGAGGGAGTTTGGCTCTTGTTGCCCAGGCTGGAGTGCAGTGGCACGATCTTGGCTCACAGCAACTTCTCCCTCCTGGGTTCAAGCGATTCTCCTGCCTCAGCCTCCCGAGTAGCTGGGACTACAGGCACCCCCCACCACACCCAGCTAGTTTTTGTGTTTTTAGTAGAGAAGGGGTTTCACCATGTTGGTCAGACCACCATGTTGGTCTCGGGCTCCTAACCTCAGGTGATCCACCTGCCTCAGCCTCCCGAAGTGCTGCGATTACAGGCAAGAGCCCCCGCGCCCGCCCTTCCCCCAAGAAACTTAATCATCTTTTCTTACTTTTACAGTTGTGAATTCCTCCAGTAAAGACCACCAGAAACACACCTGTAGTTAAGCAAGCTGGGGTTATTACTTATTGCAAGGAGGGAAAACTCACACCATGAGAAACTGTGGGTCCCATCAGTAAGAGGGTGTTAGACATTTAGGATCTGGGCTTTGGCTGGGCGATTTGGGGGAAGGTCGGATTTTCTCTGTATTGAGTACTGAAAGGAGGTGGGAAAATTCTATCCAGTAGCTCTCTGTTTTCTGGAAGGAGATTTGGCTGGAGTAAGGCTAAAGCTGTAACATGTAAAGAAGCCGCAGTCACTTCTATCAGCTGGGAGAAAGAGATGTCTGGTATTCCGTGGGTGGCACAGTGACCTTGATTTTTCTCTGCTTAGACAAAATGATGAGGTGGTCTCGTTTCGTCTCCTGTCATCAGTGATGCAGAGTGCGCTTGTGTGGGTGGTCTGCATGGTTGTTTATGTCCAACAGGAGAACAACATGGCCTTCCTGTGGGTGCCAGCCAGCTTCCAACAACATTAGGGCCTGGCCCGCAGCACCAGGCCAGCTCCTCGAGGTCAGTGCCACTCTTCTCTTTTCTGCAGTGGAGGAGGTGGTAATCCTAGCACTTGGAGAAGCCAAGGTGGCGGATCACTTGAGCTCAGGAGTTGAAGACCAGCCTGGGCAACATGGGGAAACCTCCTCTCTACAAAAAAAAAAAAAAAAAAAGAAAAAAGAAAAAATTAACCGGTGTCGCGGTGCATGCCAGTAGTCCTATCTGCTTTGGGGCTGGTGTGGGAGATCACTTGAGCCTAGGAGGTCAAGGCTGCAGTGAGCTGAGATTGCGCCACTGCACTGCAGCCTGGGTTACAAAATGAGATCCTGTCTCAAAAAACAAAGAGATAAACCGGAAACTGGGGTTTGCCAGGCAGAAGACAGTAGCAGGAGCAAAGGCATGGAGACTGGAGTAGAGTGGTATATTAGGCGAACTT